ACACCTACTACACAAAGCCACTCTACAAATTCCAGGAGACATAGCAGCTCTACCTAATACATAGAAACAAACACCTGGAAGCAGCCAAAATGTGGAGGCAAAGAAACATGTCACAAAGGAAAGAACAGAAGAAATCTCTAGACAAGGAACTAAATGAAATAGATCCAAGCAAGCTAACAGATACAGAGTTCAGAATAATGGTTATAAGGATGCTCGAGGATATTACTAAGAGTATGATGAAAATAATTGAGAAAATCAATGACATAATAAAGTACCAATTTGAAATGAAGGCTACACGAAGTGAAATGAAGAATAATTTACAGGGAATCAACAGCAGAGGACGCTGAGAATCAAATCAGCAATTTGGAACATGAAGAAACAAAAAACACCCAACCAGAATAACAAAAAGAAAAAAGAATCCAGAAATATGAAGATAGCATAAGGAGCCTCTGAGACAACTTCAAGAGGGTCAACATTCATGTTATTGGGGTACCAGGGGAGGAAAGAGTAAGAAATTGAAAACCTATTTGAAAAAATAATTACAGAAAACTTCCCCTACCTGGGGAAAGAAATAGACTTACAAGTCCAGGAAGCACAGAGGGTCCCAAACAAGAGGAACCCAAAGAGGATCACAGCAAGACACATCATAATTAAAATGCCAAAGGTTAAAGACAAAGAGAGAATCTTAAAAGCAGCATGAGAAAAACAATTAGTTACCTATAAGGAAGCACCCATAGGACTGTCAGCTGATTTCTCAACAGAAACTTTGCAGGCCAGAAGGGAGTGGCAAGAAATATTCAAAGTGATGAAAAACATAGAACTACAACCAAGATTGCTCTACCCAGCAAAGCTATCATTCAGAATTGAAGGTCAGATAAAGAGCTTCATAGGTAAAGAAAAGCTAAAGGAGTTCATCACCACCAAACCAGCACTATAGGAAATGTTGAAGGGTCTTCTTGAACAAGAAGCTAATGAACAAAAGAATCTGATGAACTAAATAGATCCAGAG